CTGAAGCGTAGTAGCCTCAATGTATCTCCGCTGCGGGGTCCGACGTCGTGTGCAGGTCCGTGACGTCGTGTGCCGGTCCGTGACGTCCCGAGCTGTCGTAAACGTCCACTATGGAAATGCGTGGCACCATGACCGTGGAATGATTACCGGTAACTTGGATGGCTAATCAGTGAAGGAAGAGAGCGTTAAGATGGTTTTACAAAACTCTTGACAATATTCCAGCCATTTCACAAGGAAAAGCGCCCACTAAGGACCCATCTTGGAATTCGAACCCGGACATTTGGGGTGACGAGCCCAATCTATAACCACTAGTTTATACATGTTTGTCTGCGACTCCAAATAGTATGATGCACGGCACATCAGTTAATTACCCTTGTCACCAAAACACAATGACTCAGTCTCGGTATGAGATTAGCCACCCAGGCTTAGCGGATCCTGGTACGGCGATTAAAAGGAACCCTGATCACCAGAGACAACTGGCACGCATAAGTAATAGTTATATCCACTTGCATGCGTTAAACAATAACGAAATAAAAACATGGTGGCCAAATATTTCAGATAAATGTTCGAAATATGACAAACTGAATCAGTTAGGTCGGACGTCTACAGTTAATCCTGCACGCAGAAGTGTTTCTTTGTTTGTTTGTTGTTTAACGCCGCATTCAGCTATATGACGGCGGTCTGTTAATAATCGAGTATAGATAAGACAATCCAGTGATTGACATCATGAGCATCGATCCACGCATTTGGGATACGATGACATGCATCAACCAAGTCAGCGAGCCTGACCACCCGATCCCGTTAATGGCCGCTGACGTCAAGCAGAAGTGAGTAAAAAAGTATACATTTGAAAATTAGACTTGACCAAAACATTACAAACGTTATCAAAACATTACCAGCCTGAAAACGGTCGCCAAAACACTGCAAACCTCGGGTCTAAAACACAATTATGATACATTACCATTGAATATACCCGTGAAGATCCGGGGTTGAATAGGTCTTCAGCATCCCATGCTTGCTGTAAAAGGCAACTAAGCTTGTCGTAAGAAGCGACTAACGGGATCGGGTGGTCAGGCTCACCGACTTGGTTGATGCATTTCTTCGTATCTCAAAATCGATGCTCATAATTTCAATATCTTGATTGTCTGGTCCAGACTCGATTAATTACAGACCGCCGTCATATAGCTGGAATTTGTTGTGGCGTTAAAACAACAGACAAACAAACAAACCATTGAATAACCATTTCTTATTTGTTTCATTTAAACCACCATCAAACTTAGGTGTATACTTTCTTTTGTCCAGCAGTATAAAATAGGAAATAGTTGATTGACACTGTTGACGTCGCGTAGGAACCTTCCTGCCTCCCATGGGGGGTTGTAGCACGGCTATGACCCTACATTTGCCAGACAGTTTATTCACACAAATCGTCTACTGAGAAATCTTGTTTAGATCCCATCTTGTTTTCGCCATTGTAAGGTGTCAAGTCCAGTGCGCTTGTCCCGTAACGAGAGTATGACACAGGAGACAATAACGGGAGCGTTCCTACACACGTCCCCTCTCCCTGACGAGCAGGTGTGGCAAAACACTCAGGTCAAGATGGACAGGGAGGTTGGATAAGACAAGACCCGTTACATCAGTCGCCAAGGTGACTCTGCCGTTCAACTAGCGCTGCGCCAACAACACGCAGCTGACATGACGGACTGTGTTTGAAGTCACGCGCCCCTCGACACACAGCGCCACCTAGTGTCCACTGTGAGAGGTGTGCAGGTGGAGATGACGAGAGGAAGTGCAGCTCTCCACACTGGCGATACATTCCTCCCCCGCCTGTGTGATTGCACACGTGAAATTTGCTCGACGACAACTACCTACTACCCTTCGCTGTTTGGGGCAACTTCTTTGTCTCATATTGCTGGGGTGTTATCAAGTTCCCGTTGTGCAACAAGCAGCAGATAATCTCACCTCTTAATTAATCCGGATGTGACGTCAGTATGACTGTTTACCGTCATTGTATCGCTTGATGTCCTAATATTGTTGTAACGAATTTACAAATGTTAAAGCCTAAACTATTTTGTACACCTTAATATTCTTCATTCTGTCACAATCGATACCGTCAAAAAACTTTCGTAAACTATTTCAAGATATGCAATTTCATCACCTCATGCCCGTCATAGTTTATTACAGTAAAACTCAATCTGTTTTAGTTTGTAATATATTTTTTATTTGATACAGATGTGTATCTTTCGGTTAGGTGTTTTTCAAGAATTTACTTCAATATATATTTGGAGGTATGGATGTAAATCCATGAACGCAATAACGTATTGAAGTACAGTAAACTACCTTTATAACGAACACGCTTATAACGAACTGACCGATATAACGAACTATTTTTTAGTCCCGGCCATTTGTTGTGTATATGTTGTATATATGCTTATAACGAACTACGGTTATAACGAACTAAAATAAGTGGTCCCTGTGAGTTCGTACATGTAATAACCGTAGTTTACTGTAATTTCTTATCAATAAACACATAAACAATAATAACTTCATAGATTGGTTATTTAATCATTAACACACACAAAACTGTTGATATCAACCAGTCACATTTCTTAAATCAACAATACAACACAAGCCCCGCCCATTCTACTGTCAGCCAAACGAGAAACATGCAGTCAGTTTGGGATGTCTGTTTTTCGGTTTACAAATAGCTTGGTTAGCAACCCAATTACCACGGAATCATATAATCTATTTATTAATGATTGAAAATGTACAGGTATGTGTTGATTGTTTAACATGGTTTTTTTGCGCTGCTGTTCGTAATATTCCGACCATATAACCAAGAAGAGGCTTCACACGTTGTACCCACACGTGGAATCTAACCGGGATGTTCGGCGTGACGATCAAAAGCTTGAACCACATGGCTACCCTCACTTGTTGAAGAGAGGACACGGGTGGCCCAGTCGTCTAAGGCGCCGCTATTCGCTGTGCTGAGTTGCGTCCCATGGACACGCCAGAAACCTATGATTGTGGGTTCGAATCCCGGTTCGCCCCGATTATGATTCTAGGTTTGTCAGCACCATACCCGTGCTCGTGGGTTTCACCGAAGTGGTAAACGTCTGGGACCTGCATCACTTCGGGCTTTCCTCCCATAAGCTGATGTGATATAACTATCATAAAGTGGCGTTAAACAAAACTCACTCACTCACTTGTTGACGATTTCAGCGCAAATTAGCGCAAATTCCAATTGTAAAGAAATTTAAAAGCCACTGACGGAAAATATGCTTCAAGGTTTTCTGGCTGAAAAAGACACTCTTTGATTCCAATCAAAGATACAAACGTTTCTAAGAAAAAGTACCACTCGATAGTATAACTTTCATGTCGTTTTTTGTGGAAAGTTTGCACAGCAGTATCTGCTTCGTAGTAGTCTGCCAGGCAAAAGATAGTATACACTTGAAAACAAATTACAAACGTTATTGAAACGTTACTAGGCTTTAAACAGTCACCCAAACATTGCAAACTTGAGGTCCAAAACGAAACTATGATACTCATATCAAATACATCCCCATCGAATAACCATTTCTTTTTTTCATATTTAGCCACCAGGTGTGTGTTCCTCCTTTGACAATCAGTTTAAAAGATGAAACAGTTTATAATGACTTTGTTATAGTATTTGGAGCACGTGTACTAAATCTTGACACAATTGGCTTCGTTTAAGAACCTTCCGGCCCAGCGTGTAGGGCGTGGTACTGATACGACCCTACTTTCTGAAGTGCGAGATCATCTTTTGACCCATTACAGTACTTCAGAATTCTCGTTGAAGATGTATTTTGCCTGTTGATCTTTCATTTATATGTACCTAATATACTGAAGAACATTAGAAACGAAACGCTTTCCTTATAAGATAACCTCTGGGTAAATCTGCTTGGGTATTGAAAGCTTAGAAGTACCGTTACAGATCTGAGGATGTCATCGACTGTTGTCGCAGATGATGCCGTTACAGAACCACGTGACATAGGTCAGGACGTTTTCTGGGTTATGTTTCAAAAAGGGATCTTACATCTCATAGTCGTAGCGCTAAGACCGCTGTGTGATCCAGGTTCCATGACTTAACGTCATTATATAAACAACATTTTAATTTAAACATCGTTTCTATTGTTCCAGCATACTACGGATTCCCGTTCAGCCGGAACCAGTCAAAAGTCCGGATTATAGGGTACTCAGTATTGTAGAAACTGTGTGTCCAAATACATTCTAAACACTCCCGTGTAGATTTGGGTTAGAATAGGTCTTCAGCATACCATGCTTGTCGTAAGAGGCGACTAACGGGATCGGGTGGTCAGGCTCGCTGACTTGGTTGATGCATGTCATCCCAATTGCATAGATCGATGCGCATGATGTAAGTTACTGGATTGTCTGGTCCAGAGTCGAATATTTACAGACCGTCGAGATATAGCTGGAATATTGTTGAGATCGACGTTAAATACAAACAAACAAACATTCCAGACAACCATTGCCTACAACGTTAGGGTTCCGGATTAGCGGGATGTGATCGATCCTTCAGATTGCGTTCGTTCCGAGACAAAGGAATATATAATTCTCAATTGTGGTTTCAAATATGTCCCATCAAATGTGACCTCAAACATATGCCATCAATTAGACCTCAATTAGATCCCATCAATTGTTCCTTAACAATATCCCAACAATTGTTCCATAAATGGGTACCACCAAGTGTGACCTCAGATAGATTCCCTTAATTGGACCTCAAGTAGATCTCTCCAATTGTTCCGCAACAAAATAACAACTGTTCCTTAAACAGATCCCATCAAGTGTGAGATTCCCTACAGTGTGACCTTAATAAATCTCTCAATTGTGACCCCAGATCTATCCCATCAATTGTTATCTCAAACTGATCCCAACAACTGTAACCTCAAACAGATCCCATCGAATAAATCTATTTCTGCTTCCGGTAGTTCAAAATATTCGCTATGGAAAAACAACAAATATTTTATTTTCAGATGAAGGGATTGGTTTATTAACAAAATATAACAACATATGATACAGGTTGTGGATGTCCACATCGCGATGTGTGCTCAGTATTAAACAAGGAATATAAGTGAGTCGTCTCTTCCTCTATCTACAGTATACATCTTCCTGAAGCAAGGGAGTTAACTGACTGTAAAAGTCCAGTTTCCACCCTTGCCGAACTAGGCTTTTATTACGAGTCATGGACCTTCTGGGCCTCTCCAATGGACCAATCAGATTCCACCTCTCGTATCACTTGCATTTCTATCAAACAAAATGGCGGCGTCCAGTCAAGACGATCTGATCGATAATCAAGTTTTATAGTGTAATAAAACGGGTGTAACATCGCGAAGTGCATCAAAAATTGATGAACACCTTGATTAGAAACATTAAAAGATTTTGAAAATATTTGTTGACAACGAGTTGGCGGTGTACATGCTTTTCAAATCCTGCAATCGACCGAAATCTACACGACAATTTACTGACCGGGTTTCGATTTCGTTGCACGATTTTGATTGGACTATGCATAGCCTCGTTAATCCAGCCAAAATGTAAGTCCATAATACCAGCCTAGTTCGGCAAGGGTTGAAACTGGACCTTTATAGTCAGTTAACTCCCTTGCCTCGGGAAGATGACAGTATACAACTAATAACGCGCCGCAACACACGCAGGGTCGGACGTGACTCCATGTTCAGCACTTTGGAATATACAAGTTACAAGGAGTCCTCATCTGTATCAAAACTATCCAATGACGAGCTGCCACTCAAGTTTACACCAACGAAAGTCGCAGTAAGAAATATACAATTTCCACTGATAACTGATATAGGCACAAAACATGCATAGTCATATTTGTACATTGTATGAAATTAAATAATATACATCTAGATATATATGTATGCGACATATGATGACATTTTGAAAGACTTATGAGTTGTTTACTCACGCTATGATTGTAGGATTATTTTAAGGCACTATTGTGGAATACGTCATTGGACGTTTGTAAGCAGGCATAATAAGGCATGTTGGTTAACTTATTCCGTATTTGCACCATCCAAGCCATACAACTTACATTTCTGAATGAAAAGACGATACCTATAAATGTTCATCACACTAATATCAAGTACATCAGGAAGTCATTTTCTTCATCTATCAAATGCATTCATTATGGGTCATAGTGTCACTGTCGAGGTAATTTGAACTTCTGTATAAGAACTCTCGCATCAGGCGGCGTCGGTAAGCACACGCTATATCTACTGTAGTTTTCAATGTTTATCAGACATAAATAAATGCGGCGTTCCGTTTTGTACCCGTTTATCAACCTCGGATGTCGTCGTCGTATCGTCGCAGATCTACGCTACTACAACACCCGTCGTGCACGTTGTCGTTTCCGTGGCAAGAAGCACGTGCTGTCATCAGCTGGAAGAATTTCGTTGCATTGTGTCAAGTCGTGTTCTCTATCAACTCAATGTACACTATTTACATATTTTGCTAATTGAATACATTAGCCGAGACATAAGGGCTCTGCGAAGGACTATATAATTTTTTAGCACCGGGTATGGAACCGGTGGCTAGGTCACCCTCCCACCTCTCGTCCCACCTCTCGTCCTGTCTCGTCCCTCTGTTAGTCTGTCTGTGTGTCCGTCGCACTTGCGGCTAGGACCACCAACGTCACGCGCATGTCACGCACTGGTTCAACTTCTCTTATCACAGAATCAAGTGACATTGCTCCACCAATGACACGCCACCTCGCCATGTATGGTGTGAGACCACGAGAAACATTGAGACCAATAGGAACTGGGCCAGCCCAATCTCTAGAGTCCATCAGTTGTAGACTCGAGTACACAGCCGCAGTTATCACATAAATAATATGCGCCAGGATCTGACGTCAGGGGAAGTCTCTCAGTCATTATTTAAGCCTTATTTCACGGCTTTCCTTCGTACTGACGCCTTTTCAGGGGAATCTGTTTTTGTGGAGGACGTTCCTCTCATGGAGAGGCGCTCCTTCGGTTTATTGAGTCCCATTCTTTTCAAGAAGGACGGGGATTTGTCCATAGAACTTCCTTCTGAATCGGTTTCCGTTACAGTCGAAAGAGAATTGTTCATGTTATTTTTGTCTGGAGATTCAGACTTTTTCACACCTCCGATTTTGTTGAGGAAAGGTCTTCCTTTCTTCTCCGATTGGGTCTTCTCCCTATTTGTCACCGGAGTTTCAGTGTGAGATGGCTTGGGCGTGGACGACCTGGAAGACGGGAGCCTCAGACTGGAGGTCCGAGAGAGGGGTGAAGTTGTTGCTGGAGACATGGCCCGCCCCGATGATGCTGATGGAGGTGGAGGGGCGTGTCTTTTGGTCCTGGGAGGAACGGATGGTGAGGCGGAGTCTGTGCTTTTCTGCGCCTTGGATGAAGCAGTAGGTGACATGAAGGAGGGTTTCTTCTTTCCTTCAGATGTCACGGGAGTTGAGCTTCTCTTGGGTTCAGCTGAGGTTGGCCCCAATAAAGAACTCCTCTTCGACGACGAGACCCTCATAGACTGGGTCCTGTTGAGAGTGGAAGGAGTAGTAGGTCTGGAGCTAGCTGCTGGGGTTGTGGGTCGGGAGGATGGAGACAATGTGTTGTTCAGCCTGGTCTTTGTTGGGGAACTGGCTGTAGAGGTCGATGAAGACAAGCTTGTGTTGGAACCTCCCACCTTAGATTTGTTCAGATTTGTAACAGGGGAGCCGGTGGAGGCACGAGACTTTGTCCCACGGATGGAGGTCCTTGCCGCTGTATTTCTGGTAAAGGATGCGGAAGCAGATGCACGTGTAGCTGCTTCTGCCCGCATCGATGCTCGTGCAGAGATATTGCGACTGAGGGGACTAGGCGATGGTGAAGCCCTGCCGCTATCAGTGCCAGTGGAATCTGCTCTAACTCTAGCCGAGGCGCTAGCTGTGCCTTTCATGAAACCAGGAACTGAGCGACCCGTCTTTGCCTTTGTTTGGGACTTAGGTGTATCTTTAGGCGTAGATGGTCTGGAGGTCTTTGGAGAAGCTGCTCTTTTCGGTGTTGTTGTTGTTGTTGTTGTTGTTTTGCTGGCCAATTTAGACTCTTTATCACTCCAGACATCTTCCTTTGAAGTGCCATGACCACTATCTGGAGATGTTGCTGAATAGTCTACCGATGAATCCAGAGAGGAGTTCTTGCTGTTCTGTCCTTGACTGCTGGCCATGACGGACGCAGTCCAGCTCTCCGTCCTCTGCTTGCGACTGTCCTCTTCAGGTAGGGCTACATTGGCTATTAGGTCGCTGTTGGCAGGCCTGTATCGGTAGGAGTCGGCTTTCCTTGAGAGAATCGGTGTGCTTAGGAATTCAGAGTCTACATTGCTACTAAGAGACGTTCTTTGTGAGACAGTTCCTGACATGCTTTCAAAGCCTTCGTCACGTTCATTGCTACTGGCGTAACTACTGGCATAGCTGCTTCTTGAACCAACTTCGGTCTTGAGATCCTGGTCGTGGTCATGATGTAAACGATTATGAGGCATTAGATGTCCCTCATGGTCAGCGACATTTTCATAACCACTGATCCTTCTCTTATCGTTTCGCTTCTGACGCCATTTGGTAATGGCTAATAAAGGACTTTCATCGTCATCATCGAACTGGCGATTCCTAACGTTAAGACGAGCTACAGACTGCTCGACACTTGAGTTGTAATCTGTCTCTGAGTTACCTTGACGTATCGGGGAAACTCTTTGGGTCTTTTCTTCCAGACCCACACTTCTTCTCCTCTGTTCTGGGGAGGAGTCACCATCACTTAGGTTTTCAGCTTGCAGAGTTTCAGTGGAAGTGTTGGTAGATTTGATTGAGAGACGACTCTGACTTTTCGGGCTGTCGCTCTTAGCGGATGAAGGACGTCGTTCTGGTATTTTCATCATTTCATTGTCACTGTCATCGCTAGGAACATACACACCATGCCGACGAGGATCCATAGACAGTCGACTAGCACTCCCTCTGAGTATTGCACGTTTCTCGTCAGTGGTATCAGGGGCACTACCACTATTTCTCATCGTAAACTCATCCTTTTCATTCATCGCGTTCCTTGCCACAGATTCATCATAGCTTTTAGACCGGCTCATCCCCACTTCCAGCTCCTTGAGGGCCTTGTCCACTGAATCCTTCTCCACATTGCTCTTGCATCTGCTACTGACTGAATCACTTTCAGCTTTCTTTGAACCGAACCGGTCTCTATTGAACTTTTGCTTCCCAGTCAGCTTCCCAGACTTTTCTCTGTCGGGGCTCACCTTGCTGTCATCAGCTTCTCCGGTGGACTTCCTTCTGGGGGGAATGATAGGACTTTTGGAAGGATCTGGCCCTTCTGTTGATGAATGTGGCTTTGTATCTGGCTCTGGCATCTTCTGTTTTAAGGCACTCTGTACTTCATCGAGAGAAACATGAGCCCGTTTCTTTCGAGTTTCTCTTTTGGCTTTGAGAACGATTTCAGAATTGGGAGTGGAAGACCTGTCACTTTCTTTCGACATAAGTTCAGGTCCAGCACTTACAGGCCTCTTTTGCATCGGCCGGGAAACACCAACACTGTCTATAGTTCGGTCAGTGTCTTCAATCTTCTTCAAAACATGATCGATATCTGTGCCCATTTTCTGACTGATCTGAGCACGGATAGACAATTTCCCAGAAGTTAAATCAGAATCATCACGAGATCTTTTCTCATTCTCTTTGAAAGACTTTAAGAATATGTCTAATTCAGCAGGATCTAAACTGCTCTGGAAACGCTTAAAAAGTCTTTCGCGGCTTTTCACGATTTTCTGATTTGAGTCAGTATTATTATTATTATTTTCAAGTCCAATAATATCAGAACTAGTATCTCCGTTGATGCTGGTATCTTTACCCACACCGATCACAGGAGTCTCAAGTTTGGATTTTTCATCAATGGTCTGGAGAGCTCGAGGAGATTCGGCACCAGAAATATTAACCCTCCACCTATTAGCTGATTTGGGAGAATCTGGCCCAGAATTTATTGGAATATCAAGCTTCTTGGGAGTGTCTGGAAGCTTCCTCACCCTCTTTTCAACATCATCTGATGGAGGAGGCGTTTTAGTTGCTTCAGGGCCGTCACTTTTACCTTTTGAGTACAATTTTCGTTTAACCCTCTCAAGAACGTCATCCTTCTCATCGTCGTCAGCTTTTACTGATGAGGAAGATGCAACACTGTCACTATCGCTGCCATAACGCCTTGATGTCGTCTTGTCGTACATGCTGCGTGTCCTTCTAAATGGACGCACTGGAGCATCATCTAGTGATGATTCAGAAGAGCGATCAGCGGATGCCACCTTCATCTCTTTCCCAGAATTAGGATCTGGTGAAGCACGACTCTGCTGATCTGTCACTCGAGGAGAAGGTGCTCTTTCCCTGTCTATTATGTCCAACAATCCTTTTCTATCCTTCCTCTTCCGCCTTAAGCTACCATACCGATCAAACGAAAGATCTGGTCCTTTCTTATCCTCACCAACATTATCGTTCAGGAATTCTATGAGAGAAGCGTCATCCTCAGTGGCATAGCTCTTCCTGGATCTGTTTTTTTGGATGTCAGGAATGGCATCCTCAAGGCTACTACAGGTACTTTCAGTGTCCGTTGTGTCCAGACTCTTGTCCTCCAGCTTCTCAGACTTCCTCATGCTTCTCCTCGTGCTCCTCCTCCCAGTCCCATTCCGAACAAATGGATTGTCAGCCACCGCAGCAGCATCTCCAAGCCCACTGATTAGGCCACTAGCAAGGTCCAGGTTCACCTTTTGAACCTTCTTCACGCTGAAGCTTCCATCACTGAACTTGTTGTTGGTCACCCCGGACCTCACATCAGCCAACAGCATATCCACAATGGAACCGTTCTCTGGACTAGTTGGGGAACTTCGGTCCATCGACATATCTCCTGGTTCCTTCAAACCTTCACCTGCAAGAGAAAAAGATATGTCTTAGAATTATATAATACAGTATATAAGGAATAGTTCACCCAAAAGGCCAGATCATTTGTAAGATGACATAAAAAAATAAAAACATTGTCAGAACTAAACCGGGCAAAAGAAACTATACACTTAAAAATGAAATTTGACACAAAAATTACAAATGTTAATAAAACGTTACTAGGCTGAAAGCAGTCGACGAAATACTGTAAACTTCAAGATAAGTGTACAAGTCCAAAATACATCACCGTCAAATAACCATTTCTCTTTTTTTGTTTAATTGTTAGCCACCATCAAACATGAAAGTATACTTTCTTCTGCTCGATAGTGTATTCCAACGTTCAGTGTATAACTGTAACTGTAATTATGTAAATATTCGTTGCATAAACACTCGTGCATGACACGACATGACCAACACTGACCTTGTTTTTCAGCAAGTTTCTTGGAGTTCTCCGACTCCTTCAGCTTTCTCCTGGCTTCAGCCTTCTCCTCCTGTATACGTCGCGACCTGTTCTCCTGCAAACAGATATAATACATTAGATATGTGACGATGATCATAGTATCATATATCAAACACTAATATTTGATTTCACTGATGTTGTAGTCACTTGGATTTAAATTGATACTGTTAGCCAATACATATCAATATTGTCTCAATACATTTCTTAATTTATCCCCTCCCCACAAAAACAAAAGCACTCTGCAATATTTCATCTATACAAATGACTGAGCCAGACAAACCAGTGATTAATATTACGACAGGCACCATACCCCTCAGGTTACAACTAATGCAAGTCACTGAGTCTGATCACCCGATCCATATTACGAGTTACTTTGAAATGTAAATCAATCACTATCAATGTATCCATATATAAATCACCATCAACCTCGGACTCTCACCTCGATAGCCTTCTTGAACCTATCTCTGAATATCTGCAGAGTCTTGAAGCTGTCTTCTAGTTTGAAGCTTCCTGCGTCTTCACAGAAGAAGTCGGCCAACTCCAGACGGAGGGCATCAATGTCCTTCAAGTCTTCCTGCAGCTCCAGCACCTCCTCATTTGCTTCCTGGAATATGACGACATATGATTAGTTGCTTGGATACCATTACATAACACTAATAGCATCTTACATGAATATTCGCTCATTTGAAAAAATCCTGCAAAACAATTAAAACATTGACCACCATTGTGTTTGTTGATACAAAACTAATTCAACAGGCTCCTATTGAGAAAGTCTTCATCTGATCTTCTTAAAACTTAGGAGTGAGTGAATGAGTATGGTTTTACGCCGCTTTTAGCAATATTCCAGCAATATCACGGCGGGGGAGAACCAGAAAAGGGCTTCACACATTGTACCCATGTCGGGAATCGAACCCGGGTCTTCGGCGTGACGAGCGAACGCATAAACCGCTAGGCTACCCGAACGCACCTAAAATTTAGGAAGATGTTCACATAACTCCTCAGTGTCAATAACTGTCCGCGATTGAGGCAGTAGGCTGATCGTTTCCGATGGTAGGATGTTAAAAAATTCATTTCAATGAGAACTTTTTTCAGATCTTGTCCATCCTTTCTACTTACAACGTTGAAAATATTCACATTGACCTGAAGAACAGTTATAGAGTATCAACTGTCCAAAATATATACATACACTAACACATACACCACTCAGGGGATGTGTACGTTGGTATTACCGATGTTCCAATGTTGACTCACACATAACATACATGGCCTCTGCTGTTTTCACAAACTGTCAAATATCAAACGCTGAAGTTTACTCGAAATCCCACTCTAACCACCAAACAATTATCGTGGTAAGTGAATTCTGTGCGTGGTGGCCATAACGTCAAAATAGTCTCGCTTTTTCTCACGGTATCTGATGACATAACTGTATCCCATAACCGCTCGGGCATTATAGCTGTGTATCACATATCTCGCCCCTGGCCTGGGTAAACACACCCGTGTAATAACGTACTGGAACACGCCAAGCACCAACATGGGCATGGGAGGAGAACTGTAACAGTTTGACATGGCCAGCCTCCAAATTACACGCTGGGTAAGCCATCAGACCAAAGGTCGGAATACGTATGCGGAGTATCATTAGTATGATTTGAAGAAGCGGGATGAACATATCTATGATCTGAAGAGGGTAGGGTTTAAGCCGCGTTTTGTGATATAGTCATGGGAGAAGGGACAAGGATTGGGTTCATACTGTGTACCAATGAGGTAATCGAACCTTGGTCGTTTCAGTGACGAGCGAACGCTTTAACCCCTGGGCTACCCTACACCATTACAATCTAGTATATTGGCATTACAATCCCAAACATCAATTCACCACATCTGCAACAAACATAAGACTCCATTTCGTTTAACTAACTGATTTCTGGGTTTGTGATCCACACAAATAAACTCACCATCAGGAAAGACGCCATTTGGGATTTGAAGTCATCGCCAGTCTTGCTGATCTGGTCAGATATGTCCTTGACCTTGTTAGTGATGCCGTTGATGTCGGACATTAGACTGTCCATAGCGGTGCTGTAAGAGAGAAAAGTGATATCATTATTGCGACTACCCTGCATCAACAACTCAAGCTACCACGCACCTGGTTTACATCATAGCCCAGAACAGATGTAGAGACGACCGTTTCAATACCATCGCAAGTGTGTGAGTAAATTGACTTTAATGCCACTTGAACACTATTCTAGTTAAACCACGGCGCTCAGCTTAAACCCAGAGACACACCTCAAGTGGCACAAGTTGTACCACCTGAAAACGATCACGGTATGCTGCTGACAGACTGAGGATTTTAATTACACTATTGCACAAGCATCACAGGGGCGCCAGCGATGGACAATGGGTAATATCCCTTGGATAGAACCGACCAAGAGCTATGCTACCCAATCATTCGTTCGACACTGACACCTCCTTTTAAAGTGCAATACTCGTGACTACTAAGAGAGGATCCCACACAGGCGATGTTAAAAACCTCTTTAACGAACGTACGTCCGTAGCGGAATGCAGTCTGTTCCTGAACAACACATTGACTTAAAGGTCATCTACTGCTGAGTATTTATTATGGTCTTGAAGTGCGTGGTTTTGTGTATGTTAATGGATTCGCTGGCTGCACTCTCGGAATGAATAACATCAAGCGTATAAAAGGACCCGAATGCACTCTGTGCATGTACCATTGATACTGCGGGTCAGGTCATGTCATGATGGAGCCCCATGTTGCCTCTGCGACAGGTCATAACATCAAACCTGTGTGACAGTCTGTTCCTCTTGACCCGCCCTAACGCTACCCCCGATGTCGATGAGTGTAGGAATGCTGTGACGACGTGCGGAGTGAGCAGCGACACCACAACATTCCAGTAAACTCTACACAGAGCAGGTAGTGTGTCTCCACTGGGTCTGGTTCGGTTCACAATGAAATATCAGAGGTATTGTATTCTACAAGACATAACCTGGATCAAAGAGGGTATCACACTTCGCCTTGTTTACCCTCAACGTTATTTCATAACAACTGCACTTTCCTGCGCTGTGACACACAGCCAACACGTGAAGAAATGCATTCACGTATTAGATACGTGATTGTGCTCACAAACCTTATCTAACAATGCATAGGGGTGGTTTGGTCTGAAACAGTTCTTTATATTGCCTTCCTGTCTCTTCAAAAGAATGAACCAGGGGCGTTTCACAAAGCCAAATCAGCGCCACGGCTGTCCTATCTCCAATACTATAACATAGATTTAGGATAGCCTTAACGCTAAGATCGCTTTGTGAAACGGTCCTCTGAAGTAGAGGTCTTTAAAGGCAATGAGTGAATGAGTGAGTTGGGTTTAACACCGCTTTTAACAGTTTTCCAGTTATATCACGGCGTGTCAGCTTAATGTGGGAGGAAAGCCCGAAGTGATGCAGGTCTCAGACGTTTACCACTTCGGTGAAACCCACGGGCACGGGTATGGTGCCGACAAACCTAAAAACATAATCGGGCGTACCGGGATTCGAACCCACAATCATAGGTTTCTGGCGTGCCCAAGCTGTGTGGTTGATCTAACACAACACAGAGAGCATATTAATGTTATAGGACATTAAAGGATTATTATAGCGCACAGAGCACTTATGCACAGTGAATGCTGCGCTATACAAATGCATAAATTATTATTATTATTATGCAAATTACAATAAAAACTTACTTGGAAGCATCCTTCAAGAAAGTCATCTCCTCGGGGAAGTTCAGAAGCTTTGGGTTCTTCTCTTCCGCTTCCTGGTAATGAGAATATAAATTAACAAATGAAACAATTTTCTCAATGCCCCATATATAAAATATTTTTACAATTTAGCTGTGTCGCCTTTACGCAACACCTAGTGTCATCCCAGTTACAGGCATGGATGTGTGGTGGTATTTAAATTTGCTACTGTTCTATGTCTGGGAAACTACCACGTTGCCCTCGATATGTCATACATCACAGAACAATGACACATTGCTTTACTTTTTTTCAACAATGTACAGGATTCGTTGATCTATGTCACTGATAAATTTTATTTAATGAAACCACGGTAGACATTAAGCTCACCTGTGCTACATAGTGGAGTAGATTCATCCGAGGTTTGTTGGCTCTGATCTCGGTGAGCTTCAGCAGTGATGACAGCTTAAACCCTGCAGCATTGCCGGCATAATTACCCTGAAAGGAGATAATTATGTTCAATTAAAATATATAACACAACCTTCAAGAAGTCTGAAGCAGGTATTACTCACGGTCCTATAATCTCTTCTCAATAAAAGGATTAAATTTACAGCGTCTCTTTTTATTATAATTATGAAAAATGAAAGACGATAATTACATATCTTCCTATTCCTTCAATACCTATTCTGCTCTTTGTATGGTGATAGTTAAATGCATGATGAGCCTGTCAGAATAATTTAGTGGGAAGATGAGCATTCTTTCTGCACTGTCATTGTAAATTAGCATGTGCATTCAGTGATGTACAGTTAAACCGCGCTTATCCGGACACTACCGTTCCGCAGTAAACGTCCGGGTTATCAAATCTGCATATTTAAATAACCCCATACAATATCGACCAGATGAACAGGTTTTCGGATTATCGAGGCTCGGATTAACGAGGTTCGCTGTATTTTGAACTTCAGCAACAGCGATTACACATTACGTGATTCTGTGACAACTTGTGTGAGAGGAGGTTGCAACGCGGTATTGCTTGTGAGAAATTAACCTCTCTGTTTACAAATCTAACTGAAGGTCGTGTCTCTTTGTTAGTTAGTTTGTTAACTTTCCCTGAACAACGCTGTACGGCCCACATAACGCGGGTTTAGTAAACGCTAGTGTGATGACTCGGTTACGGCGGTCGACTTACAGCGTTCAGGTAATTTCCAGCTATCAACACCAGGTAAATCAGCTCACGAAGGGACCGGCTCTCTTTGATCTCTGAAATATACAAAGAAAGGTGATTAGCTTAATTCATTGTAATGTGCGTTTATATACTTGATTGACATTAACAATATCCGGACGCCCGTCTTGTTTTACTAAACATCACGACAACAAGGGATCTGATCCTCTTGCGATAAAACCTAATATATAGCGTCCAAACACGACTCCCGCACATACAACTGTAAACAGCAGAAAATTCGTGTTGAAAGTAATCTTTTCAAATCGCTGAGGGTAGTTTCAGAAGCTCTGTAAAGGGTGCGGTCTCTCGGTGCATATTGTAATACAACTCCGAAAGGAGGTGAAATTCGTTCATAGTCCACATACACGTGGTCTTAGGGTCATTTACACAGTAACAACCACAGCGATCACCTAATCACTGATCTAACTTTGCAGAAAATTGCATGTGCCTTCATAATGCTTCCTGGCAACATTCTCTACATCTGAAACCCCGTAATCATATCATTAGGGCTGGAGATGTTCAGTCGAGTGTTACGCTCGACTATAGGTATTTGTGTAAGTATTGGGGCTTATTTAGATAACCGGTTGTTGAACATTTCCGATGACAGGGGTCCTGATGTTTGACTATGTAACATGCTTTAGGTACGTAATAAAGTGATGGTTGGGTTTGGGCTGCAGAGGTGGGGATTAGGGAGGAGGGGGGGGGGGGGGGGGGGGGGGGGGGGGCATAGATTGTTGTGGGGCAGAGGGGTTGGGGGGTTGGGCAGAGAGGGACATGGGAGAGCAGAGATTGGGTTGGGGCGAGCACAGATTAATGTGGGATAGAGAGATGGTGTAGGGGCAGGGGGAGAGCAGAGTTTGGATTGGGGTAGCACATGTTTGGATGGGGATGCAGAGATGGGAATGAGGGGGGAGCACAGATTGGTGAGGGGGGGGGGCAGAGATAGGGTTGGGGGAGCACATATCGGGGTGGGGTAGCAGAGAGTTGGGGGAGTACAGATTTGGGTTCGGTATCAGAGAGGGGGATGGGGTTGCAGAGGTGGGGGGGGGGGGGGGGGCATCAGGGAGGGGTCGGGGGAGCAGAGAAGTGGGTGGAAATAGAGATTGGGTAGGGCGGCAGTGATGTGAGCCGATGGGGGCGATGGTGAGGGGGGAGGGGAGGGGGGCGAGCGGGCAGAGATGAGGGATGGGGGAATATAACACGGGGATATATCAACCTGTCAAAACAATCCCTGTTTACTTTACCAGAAACTGAACTCTTCATAATATTGATACATATAATACACTCGCGTGCGGCAGAGGAATATGTCAACGTTATGTAAGCCTCGACATGGCGTAACCGTACCATCAGCACAGCGGGCCTGGATGGGAGATTGAATTAACCGTTAAGTGTCCGTGCGTGACGGCCAGACTTGGGGCTGTGTCCAGAAATGTTGACCGCGGGGGAACACAACCCCAGGGTCGGGTTTCAAAACCACTTATACAAATCCTCCTCCCCAATTACAAGATCATAGCGGGGCGTGCTGATCTACATACATATCACAGGCAGAGACATGGCAGTGCGCGGCATAGATTTCAGGGTAGAGTGAAGAACTACAGGATATATTTGTAAAATCCCATCACTAACAACACTGACGATTGTGTAGTGGGGCGGGGATAGATTTAGGGGGTAGTATCAGAGTACAGGGGATAATTTCGGGGGGGGGGGGGGGGGGGGGGGGGGGGAGGTGTCCAGCACTATTGAAAAGAGGTATTTTGGGTGTAAACAACGTATTTAACAGCTCGTACAATTACAGGACGGTATACACGGAGGCAAACACTCTTCACCGCATTCTTTGAATATCAGAGTATATAATTCGGCCAATGCAACATTTTGCTGATTTTTTTCATCCACATGTATTTAAGCACAAGGAAAGTGAGTATATTAACATCAACAACAACATTAATAACAACTGTGGTTGATAATTATGGTAATAATAAAACTCTAATAATAAAAGAAAGTATACGCCCATGTTTGAGGGTGGTTAAACAAACACAAAATGGTTAAATTCAATGGTGATGTATTTCATAGGCATATCATAGCTGTGGCCTTTAAGTTTGCAGTGTTTCGGCGACTGTGTTCAGCACAGTAACGTTTTGATAACGTTTATTAATTTTGGTTCAAATCCAGTTCATGAAAGTGTATACTTTCTTGTCTTTCAGTTTACTTTTGCGTGCAGGATTAACTATTTTCCTTTGTTTCAACCCAAAGATGTTCAAACAACATTGGTTCAGCTTGCAGTTGAGTCATTTCGTGAGGGGCGGTTTTGTAGCCTAGTGGGTTTGGTTTGGTTGGTTTGTTGTTTAACGCCGCACTCAGCAATATTCCAGCTATATGCTTTCGCTCTTCACGTCGAAGACGACCCGGGTTCGATTCCCCACATGGGTACAATGTGTGAAGCCCATTTCTGTGTCCTCCGCCGTGATATTGCTGGAATGTTGCTAAAAGCGGCGTGAAACTATACTCACTCACTTATTTCGTGAGGAAGACCAACAATAAAAATGAAGATCATCATTGTTACATCAACATCATCATCATCATCATCATCATCACGGCTCCTACCTTTAGCGGCAGCAATGATGGCTTCCACAGAGGGCCCTATCCATTCCATGTTGGCGTGAAACTCTTCCTTAATAAGCATCCCGTCGATGCGGAGTTTGTAGCTGCAAGAATACAACGGAATCTAAACATTTGATGTCACCTTCAACAACGCATATAAAGAATCCTATATGTATCGGACCTTTCTGTCGCTTCTGAAGTATTAATATATTCATTGTTTGTGAATCATCGTTAAAAACACACTAAACACCGTCCAGCTGACAATTAAGCGTCTGGCAAAAACATCCGCCTACAGGCACACGCATAAATGCCACATTAAGAAGCTTCATTAATCCAGCTCACTTTGATATATATGTGTATTTCAATTAGCTTCCCCATAATGTTGTAACAAGAACAGATTCTGTCAATCAAATACACTCGCTGCTCGAGCTACGAACCTACACCACGTAATGATAAATACCCCGTACAGCTGAGACACATAAAACTCCGAGGAGGTACAGATACATAGACCCAACTACACACAATATTACACCTCTGTGAAGATCATATGGAGTACGCAGAACAACAAGTTAAAGTGGTCGAGAAGTATGGTCAGCAAAGGCTGAGATGACATTACCAAGACAACTATTACATATAAAAAAAGATGAAAGGGTCTTCTCGACCAGCCGCATGACCCCACCGTCCATGAGTCCACCTGTCTCCCCCTCCGGCTACCTGAGGGGTGTAGGGGTATAGGATTTATTACCAGGCTTTGGGGGACGAAGGATCACAATGTCATATCCGGGTGCTCCCGTAATATATGGGCGTCTAGATCATAAACATCCCATCAAAAAGCTATTCGAGCAGCGATTGTTTATCATACGGTATTAAACAATGTTCTGAAGGGTTAGCTGGTGTTAATAGCCTTCCCCAATAGCAGTGTATTACATGGTTATCACAAGTACTTCAGAAGGTTCTCATACTTGAAATCAGTTGTATGGAAGATACAACTAAACCTCGTTTATCCAGACGGTTGTCTTTCTGGATTAACGAATTATGGACCATTTTCAGAATTGTTCTGCTCCAGGTTAAGATATGGTAGATCTCGCCTAATACCGATTTGTCATACAAGATTATGTCGTGCACACCATTAGACTGGTGAATAAGTTTATGTTGAACGCATCAATAATTAGAAATGTCTCTTAATTAAGCAAAGAGAGCTTCACAGACATGATATATCCTCGGTTTTCAGTACATATAAATGTATGATCCTCGGTGTATTCATCATGTCTAACTTACTTTGGCAAGCCTAGGAGGCAGACGAAAAACTTTTCAGCATTTCCTAGCTTTTCCTTATCACCATCGAAACTTCGGAAGACTTCAATCTGGAAAGACAAAATGCGTTATGATGAATGTTTAAACAAAGACAAATGGTTGATGGACCTGGTACGTTGTTATTTAATTGAACGACATTTGATGGGCAGGTCGATATGTCCTTACGAAGGGATACAGAAATGAAGAGGAGAGACAGAGGTGGTGTTTGGGGGAGTGGGGTGGGGTGGGGTGGGGTGGGGGGGGGGGGGGGGGGGGAGAGAGTGAGACAGGGAGGGGCGAGAGACAGAGAGATGACTTGAGAGATAGATTTTGAGAAGAAGAGGGAGAGACAGAGGTGATGGGAGAGACAGAGCGAGTGGGGACAGACGCAAAGAGGAGTGAGAGTTGTAGGTACCTCATCAACTGGCGGGAGAATCTTTTGCAGACCCTTCAATTTTTCAGCTCCGAACTTGCCACTGCTACCTTCTCTCAGCAGACGAACTATCTCTTCGTTCGGCATCTTGAATTGCTTCAAGAAAATGTTGACGTTGAGACTTCGTTTACCGTCCAGAAGGGTGATCTGAAGATAGAAAGGTCGGGGTTACCAAGGGAGACAATCGGAATATCCATTAACCATTGACGTTAAGAAGTTAGATCTGAGAAAGAGAGCGCTACCAAGGGGGACAATCAATATATAGCAAAACATTTGCCGACAATGATTTTGATCAAGGCCAAGGTCACAAAGGAGGCCTTCAACGTAAATGATCTAGTATTGCTGGAAGACACTTTACAAAGGTCTAATAGAAGATTGTGCATCTATACACCCGCAAACATAATTTAGTCAGATTGAGAGAAATGGGTAGTTTGTACATTTGTCGCAACATTTAACATTACTATAGCTATGGCCCATTCATATACTATCCACCACTCCAGGGATATATTGACACGCTTCAATGTTTTGATCGTCTGCTTAATACGTGAAGGTATATTGATTATATCAAGGCTAAACACCCGTCAGTAATGATGACTCATACACCCGTGGGCCTGTGTCAAACGCATTATCACCCAATCAGGCCCCCTAAACTCCGGTCCCTCACTACCCGAGTCTGCCACTGGATCAGTGCTAGGGCGACATCTCAGACACGCAAGTGTGTGTGGTGAAGCTCGAAAAACGTTACGTAAACCTCAAAGTTGGTCCGATCTGCGAGTTTTTTTACACTGATATATTGACAAAAATGCCTAGTCATATTTCCATTCACGATTATCATTTATCAGTGAAGATCAGTGATACCCAACCCGTCCCTTCGCAGAGCTGGGGATTCTTTTGTCTATGCTGAGAAAGACACTGGTTTTCTGGGTCAGAATTGACGGGGCTAAATGACTTGAAAGTATCTACCCGGCGATCTTCTTCTACGTTACGCATGCGCGGTTCCGAGTCTCATCTCTAACATTGGAAGGGTAAGCAGACGACACTTAAGCTGATGCCTGTGCAACCAGACAATGGAGGTTGACGAGCGGGTAATGTCGGCAACCCCCATGCATATTTTTCCACGCCACCCTAATGTTTCTACGTCTTTGCCAGACCCCACACACGCTGTCTACCCAACGTGCCATCTCACCACTGCTATCAGATTTACGTGTCTACGGAACAGGAGTGGGGACAGACGGTCGGTGGGTTAATAACAAACATGGAAATGGACTTAGTGATCTATCCGTAACATGCACATCTTCGCTGTCAACCGGAGGACGACTCGATATTAGGAATCTCGTTAAACTGGTCGTAAACATGGAGTCGTTTTACCCTGAAATTTGAACAGGGATGGAAGTAGAGCGTATGGCTGTTCCTGCAACAGTATATATCGTGGATGGAACCTAGTCACGAATACGACAGCTGTGGTGACATAATACCCCAGAGAGGCTATAACTATAACGACAGACTGCTATTGTTTGTTGAGGTGATACACAAGTTGTTCCAGCGTCATGCACGGCTAGCTCCTTCCGACATCTTCTCTTGTTCCTGATCTGTGTCACAGACAGGCATTGTCTTACCATTGTCTTGCATGTGTCCCCAGACAAATAGTCACAATCGGGTACCAGATTCATAAAACATATGACTTTGTTGCACAAAGCTAGAACCATGATGTATCCATTACTGATGACGTCACAAAATACGTCATTTTTACGTCATAATGCTCACCTCGCTACTCTCCCTCTTCTTCTCTGGGGTGCCTGGGCCGTCCTGCCTGGCGGCTGGTCGAGGCTGTGCAACGCTGAACAACTCGTCCATCTTATGATAGTCCATTTTATAGTTGTTGAACAGTTTGCCAACCAATGTCCACAAGTTACTCTTGCCCATCACTTTGTTCATTGAGATTTTATGCCATTGGAACGTCCTCATCTTTGACTTAGGTTTGGGCACATTGACCTGTGGGAGGTTAGAAACCGGTGCTTTGGGTGCGCATCCCGGAGGTGGGGGAGGAGGAGGACATCCTGGGGGTGGAGGTGGAGGAGGTGGTCCTCCTGGTGGTGGCGGAGGGGGTGGAGGAGGCGGAGGGATGGAGGCAGGAGGTGGTGGAGGTGGGGGTGGAGGGGGAGCAAGTGGTGACCCAAGAGGAGGTCGTTCCCCGTCAGGTGTGCTTGGCGCTGACCCCCTCCCAAGCCTCTGTTTTGGGTTTCCGTGTCCACCATCCCCACCTTCCTTGTGGCAGGAACAACAGCACTTAGGGTCCCCCGATCTGTCCAGCTTCCTGGATGTAGACACGAGAAGTTTCTGAGCCTCTGAAGCATTTTCTATAAGCGTTGCCTTGGAGACCAACTGCTCCACACTCTGCCAGACAGTGTCACTGATTGGATCGTTTGGATCTATCTTCAGGAGATGCTGCAGGCATGTGAGGAAGTTCAACTCTTGGGGCGTTGAGCATACCTGTTACGAAAAACAAAGATTTATACCAAAGTGTTATTACCCAAAATATTACAAAGTATTCATGACATTTAAACCTTGCAAATGTATTCATGTCCTCCATCAAGATTTCATCATGTCCTTGAGAAAGTCGTCTTTAAGATCGCGGATATGACTGGCCCCAAAAGGCATTACAGCAGATTGAAAACTTGATCTTAAAATCTAACTGCATTTCCCCCTTAACTAACCAGATTAACAAGTCTACAACACATCACGTATGAGGGTCAGAAGGGTCCATCCCATCCAGCGCATGCAGCCTGGCGTTTGGCACATCGTTTCTACCTGTTGTAGCTTGCATGCTAATCAGCCGAACGCTGCAGGTGCGCGCTTTGCAGTGAAGGTAAAGATATGTACAGGTAGTCGAGGTATTAGGACCGTCTCGCACCTGAGTCCTACCCCGCCCTCCCTCTTCTGGGGACAAAGCCGGACCTGTTGCTATGGGCTGGCACCAGACTGATGATAGAAGCCGCCATGACACCTGAATACTCTACATCTACATAGAACTTACGTCACAGCCTTTGGAACTTCCGCGTTGTTTTTTAATTCACAGTTTCGGTTTGAACTTTAAGAGTTTAAATTACTGTTAACGTATGCACGGTGTCTCAAACACGTGAAAACTCCAGGCTCATTAAAACCGAGGTCTACACGGGACGAACTAGAAGAGCAATTGACCTGCGCAGCATGCCTCTCGAGTCACTATGTTTTCAATCGGAGTACGAACATGTTTTATAAATATTTTGTTACCATAGATACCAAAACGTATCACCGTCCACCAACACCTTAGGCAAACTAAGTCGTACAGTTTGTACAGTTTCTAAAAAAAAGTCACACAAGTCCCCAAACGGGTAAATATTTTCAAAACATAGATTTCAGTAATAATTAGTATACCTGGCTATATTTTCAACACCTGTTGACCAAATCCATATAGGAAAATATTGAGTTGGTTCGTTTTAAGTATCTACTTGGTTTACACAGCCAATAAACGAGGTGTGATAAATTTCCTGTAACATGTTTCAGAGACAGTAAATATTTACTGATGGATGTCCCAAAGACAGGTAGAATTTCAAGCATCGTCATCAGTTGTGTAGAACATGTCATGTCCTAGGCTTGCACTGCACGTGACCTGTACTGCTATGACAGTGACATATGATGAATGTCAATGTGTCTCGTGCGCTATTGTACTATCCCCCGTACAACTGGTAAATATGTAAAGCAATAACCGTGCCTTGACGCGAGGGGCACAGATACTTTGTTGTCTTTGACATTTTGCAGAGATCTATAAGACTTCTAAGAAGTATACGGGTCTTACTCAACAGGAGGGGGTTACTTGAAAAAGGTTAGGAGGACAAATACCTGTGATATTTGACTCTTGCTCTGACATCAATACTCGCTCTGATCTGACTTATAGTATCAAGATATTTAGTGAACCAACAAAGATCCTATTCTTTCATCAGCTAACAAATACACAAACATTTCCTGAAAATGTATGTACCACGCGTGACAATATGAATTCAACGTTTGTTATTTTTAACAGTTAAGGGAAGGTAGTTTAGAGGTAAATATTATGTATGTCATGGTAGAATTGACCTTGATCAAACTTCTTAGGAGCAAACATAAAGGCACTCGACTTAAGGATTAGGAAGTTTTTCATCTGAACATAACATAAGAAGTAATGCAACTTTCCATGACTCGACAAGTAAAGAAAGCAGTTTCGAGAAAAACGTTTTTAAAATACCGAGTGATACGTAAACGTTACGTTGAGATAACGACGTTCGAGATAAGGACCGTCGACTCACCTGTTTGTAGATGGCGTGGAAGACGTCCATGGGGCTACCGAGATCCACGTTCTTGGCAGCAGGATGAAGTTCATCATCATTTGCCTTGTGTTCCTCGAACAGCTGCAGCTGTAGCGTAACGCCATGTTCCTCCTCCTTCCTGTAACACGTTAACAACGACGTCAGCGACATATTAAACTGCCCCCACGGGTGGATCTACATCCACTCATAGCTGCCGTGGAAGTGACATAACAAGTTTGCTCTGGAACAATCCAGCTCAAACTTAAAGGTCTCCATCGACGCCATTTTGGCAAGGATAGTCTAATGCAAATGTTGCTGGTGACTGCTAATTTAAGTTGAAATTTATTTATCAAGCTCAACCTGCAAATAACTGGTCACAAATCAGCAGAGTTAGGTTGTCTAAACTTGGATTGGACAGAGACAAATGACCACGTGGCCTTGACTGGACAAAGGTCTTGTATTTGGGATCTTAACAGCTAAGCAATCATGGCATCAGGGCGAAGCACTGTGAACTCCATATTGAAGCCACCGGGTTATCGTTTGATGGTATTTAGTTCTTTTGAAACTTAACTTGTTTTTTCGTTCTTTATATCCTTGATATATACCTTAATATATGAACGCTGAATCGAATACAGCGTTGTCTTACATACACGCTCATCTAAGCCGATTTCAGTGCCCATTAGTGTGGATTTGAACTAACATATTTCTTTTTCTATCAATTCAGAAGTTGTATGAACTTTGATAAAACTACTTATATGTTTTACCTACAAGATGACCGAATACAACTTGAATTATTCGTTAGTTTCCATGTCGTCAAGCGATGTAAAGAGACTGGTATAACTATGTTACTATGTAGGTGGTATTCGGAAAGGAGAAAGGGTATTCAGAGCTTACATGTGATTGAATACTGTTTAACGCCGCATCAGCAATTTTGCAGCTTCTCATGGCGAGGCAGAACCTAAACCATCTTCGTCCGTACGCCAATCACAACCACCAATAAATTAATGAAATTATACAACTAAGTTTGACGCATCAGTGACACAAAATGATGTCCGTTGTAATTCCCTATTTTGACTTGTACCATATGTTTCCGTGTTTTTTCAGGTGAACAATTGACTTGCCTTTGCATGTGTTTGTGACGGGTGTCACAGGTGGGGCGGGATACCCTAATCGTTTCGCGAACACCTGGTATCATTACTATTTGATAGTGATTCATAAACACCTGCTCGTGATATAGTCGGAATCGTACAATCGACTCGCTTTATACAGAGATTTCTATTGGATATGGAAAGGGTTTTGTCGCTTTATTTACATGAAAAGATGATACACGCAAGACGGTACCCCACATACATTCCTATCTTCATGTTTCCCTGTTTACTGCCAGTGCGAAAACACATGCATGCCTTCTATAACGCTTAACTACGTAATAGGTGGGTCACGTAACAGTGATTCGTCTTACCTGAGCGAATTTAGGACGTCTTGTAGCTTGAGACCTGAAATAAAGGAAAAACGTGGAATTAAAATCTATATGTACTTCAACGCCCTGAGGTTATCACTTTATCTATTGATAATGTTCCTATATAGATATAGCATCCAAAATAAATATATGTTGTTGTTTTTTTACAGTGAGGAACGAAGGCACACCCATGTCTCACAGAAGCTACATCCGGGATATACGGGTTGTTTTGTTTGAAGGTCACAGCTGTTATTCATGTTGTCAAGGTGTCTGTACACCCATTCAAACATGGGTGACGAAAGGACTATTTACGAGGATGTTTCTAAAGGATGAGATGATAGGTAGAAGATAGTCATCAGTAGATTCTATCAATGTTTGATGCAAGTCATGGATGAAAAACATTCAATCGCATGGAAAAATTCCCAGTGTTGCGTCCATTCAATTGAACACATGCGCACAAACGTTAATTTAAACCAACGAGGAAGCTTCACTTTTTATATGTTTTAAACTTAGGTTCGGGAGTGTTGGTTGTTAAAACTCTCATATACTCACTTCAGAAAGAAACGACGTTATTTGAACGCGGTATTACATCCATTTACTAAGGAAAGTGCTATGTCATCCCCAAATGGGGGCGGTCGGGTAGCCTAGTTGTTAAAGCGTTCGCTCGTCACGCCGAAGACCCGGGTTCGAATCCCGACATGGGTACAATGTGTGAAGCCCATTTCTGGTGCCCCCCGCCGTGATATTGTTTGAATATTGCTAAAAGCGGCGTAAAACCAAACTCACTCACTCACTCATCCCCAAATGTGAAGCATCTACCCCCCACTATCTGTTATTTAAAAAGATACCATTTCAGACGCATAAAACCCATATTCAAATGTATGAAGATCAGGGTGCCGTTGTACAAAACAACCTTAGCGCTACGACCTTCGTAAGTCTATGTTAAGGTATGGAAGTTACGATCACCTCAGCGCTAAGATTGCTTTGAACAACGGCACCCTGGCGTATAACGACGTCATAAGACAAGTACATGTACACACGTATTCCAAAATATAGATTATACAGATGCATACCGTCGTATACACATTGGGGAAAGTTGTATACAGGGTATTATACAGACAATATTCAGATGTATACAATGTACAAATATACATATGTATACAGGTAACTATAGATGCAATAGTCTCTAAAGAATGAAGAACGAATCTCGACAAGAAAGAAGAGATAATTATCTCAGTGAGGACTCTGAGACGTCGAGTCGCGTAAGAGTTTTAGGAATAGTTACTGTAGTACAACAAAGGATGGGTGGTATTTGAGAGTTCTTCTTCTGAAATGAGTCGGATGAACATACACAGGGGTCGCAAGCGTCGAGCTCCAGAGGCACAGCGAAAACTGAAGCTCTATTTCAACACCTAGTTAAAATGTCAAATTGGTTTTTCTTCAAGGGTCGCGTTCATCCCTGTGAAGTGTAGAGAAGTGCTAAGTCACAAGTTTGAAGGTCGCAATTTTGGCAAGCGGACGCCATGCAAATCAAAGCTAACAAGACAAGATGTGATTAAAATACTTCTAATGAGTGTATCAAAACTAGAATAAACATATTCCTCACATACGTAACATTTCGAAAATGCCGGTGTGTGATCATGCATGATACGTACTTTGTAAGATGGGAGGTCAATGAATTCAGCATTGAGGTATGCATGCATGCATGTATTTTCAATTTCTACCGTTATAGTCAGTCATAAATGTTTTGAAGCATTATCCTTTCTATGATATCATCACTACCCCTTTTTAGTTATTGAAAGTCTTTCTGAGACGTCACGAGTGTTCTTTCTAAATCATGATAATCGCCCCTGGGCTACCCTTTTTCTGTTATCATGATGTCGTGATTACCATGTCTGTGACATCATTGCTATCATGATCACCCCTTACATAATGACTTACATCACGATAACCCGTTCAGTGCATAATGACTGCCATTCCGTGATAACGTGATTACCATTTCTGTTACATCAGGATAACCTGTTCTGTGCATAATGTCTGCCGCTCTGTGATAACGTGATTGCCATTTCTGTTTCATCAGGATAACCTGTTCTGTGCGTAATGACTGCCGCTCTGTGATAACATGATTACCATTTCTGTTACATCAGGATAACCTGTTCTGTGCATAATGACTGCCATTCTGTGATAACGTGATTACCATTTCTGTTACATCAGGATAACCTGTTCTGTGCATAATGACTGCCATTCTGTGATAACGTGATTACCATTTCTGTTACATCACAATTACCCGTTTATCCGACTTTCCTCGGTACCATTACCCTTATTTTCTTATCTGTTTCAAAACACGCTAATGTATGGTTTTACGGAACACATTGTGTCGATCTGTGTTGACGAAAAGGGATAACCCCACGTCACGCCTCCGCGGAAAGGTCAACTAGGCCGATTCGTTACGCAGCAATTAGAGACAATATTTACCTACGACTTGTTGGAACTATGTACAGGGGAGAAGTCGTCAGGTGAACTGGCGACCGGGCTATTTCTAGTTGTCGGGGGACAGTACCACTAAGGCAGTTGGAAGCACCGAGCACAATACGACATCGCCTAATTGCAACCATTTAATCCCGGTACATAATAGTCCCGAAAACCCCAAGAAACAGTTGTGTGTTTTGTACGGAATTGCCCAGCATCTTTCTATTTGCTCAATGTGAGAATGAAAGCCAGACTTGCTTTGATGGGTAAGGTTGGTGTTAGGTAAAGCAAACTTATTGTATTGGCTTGGAGTGTTTTTGATGACGTAGAATTACCTTAATTACGAAAGGACCCCTGACAAGAGTACATTCTACAAATGGTGGCGGACAGTAAACGTTGACAACAATGCTGAAGTATTTATGTATTCTGTCTGTGTTGTCGATCTGGGAAAAGGGCGGTTGGGAGGCCTAGTGGTTATAGCGTTGTCTCAGCACACAGTTCAAATCCCAACCCATTCTTGGGCCCGCTTGCACAAAGCAATCTGAGCGCTAAGACCATCGTAACTCCATACTTTAACATATGCTTACAAGTCGTTGCGCTAAGATTGCATTGTGATCAGATTAAAAACAGTAAACTACGTTTATAAAGAACACGCCTATAACGCACTGACCGATATAACGAACTTATTTTTAGTCCCGTCCATGTGTTTATATATGCTGTATATATGCTTATAAAGAACTACGGTTTTACGAACTAAAATGAGTGGTCCCTTTGAGTTCGTTATAATCGTAGTTTATTGTAATTATAATAGGATGACTGCCATTTCAGAAGAACCACAAGACCCCCTCTGCGCATATCAAGAGAAGATCCTTGACCAATACCTCCTGATGTCAGTGGACACGGGTCAGAGGGTGGACGTATTTCACGGCCAAAATAACACTGGAAACTTAAACCATATTCATGAAGTCTCTTGACCCTATCACCTCGCCTAATGACCATCGCCTTGTATTTATGAGTATGTAGTGTTGGGCAGTCGAGGGCTGACCTCAGTCTGTCCTCACAACTCTGGCCATGGTCCAGCAACAATCAGTATATACATGTTATTGTGTCCATCAATAGGCGAGCCCGACCAGAGGATCAGTGAGAAGTATCAAGGATTTCTTCACAAAGGCCTTGTCATGACCACAAGCATGGCCAAGACGACCATCCATACAGCCCCTGTGAGAAGGATCAAACACGTCTGTTTGCCATCCGTCTTCAAGTCTTCGTGTTCATAAACATGGCTATAAGACGGGTTAGTGTTTATCATTTGATAAACAGAAAATATTTAGATACGATTTTGACAGTGCTGTGTACCTTGATCAGGTTTATTCAAGCTGCACCCGTTTTGTGGAGCTGCACTGGAGAGTGAAAGGCCTTGAACTATCTTGCCCATCCCCCGTATGAGCAATTAAACAGGTAGATAGACTGAATAAGGTATTGGGGATCACAGTGCCAGCGTTCCAACGTGCGTGGGTAGAGGGGCGCTCCTTAATATATTTAGGTTAAGGTCGTCTACTAACCTGATTAGATTGGTGAAGTTTCATATATGTAAAATAGTTTTTGACTTGACTAATCTGATAAGACCCAGGGGTTGAACATTCATATATGTTAAATAGTCTTTGGCTCGACCAATCTGATTAGATCCAGGGGTTGAACATTCATATATGTAAAATAGTCTTTGACTTTGCTAATCTGATAAGATTCAGTGAGGATTCATATATGTAGAATAGTCTTTGATTTTACTAATCTGATTAGATTCAGGGGCTGAAGATTCATATATGAATAATAGTCTCCGAAGTCGCTAAAATTCGACACGGGGCTAGCGTTTTATTCGTCACGGTTGAGGGTACACGTGGTCAGACAAGATAATCAGCTATACAGTAAAGTTATATGTGTTAAGGGTGCAGGTGCTAGGTTATCTTGGACTTTCAAGAACGAGGTCACCTGAAGCACAACTTTGGTATTCGTCACACTTGGCTTGAGGTTGGATACGTCTGTATTGAAGTCTACTAAACTATGCGAGCAGGAGTAGGAGGGATGCGGGATGAGTTGCTTTTAACAAGGGATGGTCTGTCTGGCCCAGAACGCTGACACCGGGATATAAACGAAATTATTACTTACGAAATACCCTCATCATAACTGAAGGGGTTGCATATTCATGCACAGGCGTCTCAACAATTATGTTTACACCCTTCAGAAATATATGCAAATTTCACAAAGCGCAGATGCGTAACAAACACATTGTAACCCCTAAAGGTCTGGCGTGGAATGGGGTGTATAATGCAAGGGGGCCAGGTATGACTAGAGGTCATGTTGAGCGTTAGCGTGACAGACACAGGGTGGGGACGGGTGTAGGGGTGAGACAAGGTTTGACAATACCGCTCTTCTTGTTTAACAAATAATATATTTATGACAATCTTCAACAAAAAAACACTTTTCAACGCTGGTCTCCCGGTGGGGGAATGAGGGGGGAGTCAGGGATGAGGCTGTTACCGGCACGGCGTTACGCCAACGTTTCTCAGTCGTGCGGGGTATAATACGGCGCGTAAAGCGAGAAGCGGTGAAGGGTTTGTAGCGACTTCTCGACTTATTTACCGCCGGTTTGTTGAATGTCCACCGATCGTGATAAAACGCAGCGCAACATGCCGCACACAGACCTATTCGTCACACCGAGGGCACGAGATGCGACAGTAAGGGTTCGCAACGCTGCTGGTACGGAGGACAGGGCCCTCGCATGCGTCACTACTATACGACACTGTATTTGTATATTCAGTTCGACGATTGAGTGAGGGAGGGAGGATTGGCGACGCATTATTCCAGTAATATCATTGAGGGGATGCAAAGGATCAACATCAACATAGTGTATCATCCCCATTCTACAGATCTTTACAATAATAATTTCCATCCCCTAACACAGACACAGCTGCTACTGCCTTGTTGGTCGAAGCTCGCTTCAACGAATCTGACGTGATGTAATATATTAAGTATCCTCTTCGTAACTTTTGGTTTAAGCCAAGGAGCCTTAAATATTTTGAAATTGTGTCGGATACCGAGGGACACTTTAACCATTTTTAAACTAATATAATGAAGACGTCCCAATTGCACTTTTTGAAGAGTATTGTAATGGGAGTGTGTTCCAAGGTATGAAAGTAGCATTTGGTAATTTGTTACATACCATAGAATTCGTTCCTGACCCGGATTCGGTCTTCGACATCCTCTGTGTAGATGATGACACAGTTGATGAACTCGAGCAGGATGACTTTGTAGTGGACATTGTCCGTGCGGGTCAGTTCGTCCAACACCAGGGAGAAGCGGTATCGTTTCTTCTTGCTCGTCTGTAACAAGAGATAGGTTTTACAGTGCATGATGATACAAATAATAACATAGGAAGAGGCTAGGCTTTGTAATGATTTATATAAGTATAAACGTCCTCCTGGGACATATGCCCGAGTTGCTGCAGATGCACTAAGGATAGACTTGTTGCTGCTGCATATAAGTACAAACGTCTTGCTAAGACATAGGACATATTTGTTGCTGGTGCAATAACAATTGTTGCCGATTCCTATATGTAAAAACTTCCTGTTGAACCATAAGCCATATTTGTTACTGATGAACAAAGGGAGGACCTATTGCTGATTAATATGATACGGTTAAACCTGTTGCTGAATCAGTATGGTAAAGACAATATATCGCTAATGCTCAATAAACATGTTGCTGATGCGTGTGGTAAGGAAAGACTTACTGATGCTTATAAGGATAGATGTGTTAAAGATGCGGAAGATGATGATATATTTGTTTATGCTTATAAGGGTAAACATGTTGTTGCATAGAAGATCAACCTCATTGCTGACCCACTTGGTGGGGGTAAACTTGATGCACTTACGTTAAGGGTAACGAGGGGTAGGTGAACGTGTAACAGGGTAATTGTAGCTCATTAGACGATAAGGTAAAGTCAATAGTAACTTGCGTTTCCAATATGAACTAGTTCAGAGGCAGTTCATTCTGCATTCATCACTGTGGGGTTATCACACGATCTCAAAGCCCACAAGAGCGATCGGGATCGGCTAACTTAACTACTTCCCTATGTACACCATGTAAAGGCCGTGCGTGGGTATACCGTGATAGAAAATGCTGCAATTTTCTATAATTGCTCAAATTATAATTGACTTGTTTCTGGAAACGTGATAAACATAATTCGCTGTTGTTACTGAGTTTGTGTCCCTGGGTTTCGCGTGAATCACGTGTTGGAGTGTTGGAGTGTTGTCACTGGCCTTGATGGCGGCGAGATGGACTGAGACAAGACATACATGTATCACGCTCTGCTTGAACTAAAACACGGAGGCCTGATGGGCGAGATATACGTGTAATTAGCACGGAAAGACGCTGTCAGGGTCGTCTCAGGTGACATCGTTAGACAGGGTGGACACGGGGTGACCTTTGACACGCTTGTGGACACAGTGTAACGGTAAATACCAAAATACATTGTCCTTAACACTAATTACTATTGGAACGCCAAACATCTATTGGAATTGACCGTTAGACAAGAGGACTTCACGACTCAGAGGCCATGGCGGATCTGGAATGGACATAATGTATGCCGTTGTATATATCACGGAAGGGAGGGGGAGTGGGAGAGGGTGGGGGGAGGGGAATGGGTGTGAGTCATGATGGCCTTCGAAGCCATGTTAAGGGTCGTTTGGGTGGCCTGGATGATACAGCGATCTCTTGACGCGACCAATACCAAGTTCGATTCCCACATGGGTACAATGTTTGCATGGCTCTGCACCCTTGTTAGAACACATCTCAAGCAGTGTATTGCATATTGTAAGAGACAATATGATGGGGTGGCCGTGACTTGTTTGTCTGCACGTTATCGTACTCCGACGGCGTTGGACTTTGACTTTGGCTGTGACTTTCACAAGAACAACCCCCAAGCTGGAATATGGTTGTCTGCGGCGTTAAACAACATTCACTCGCGGTCCCCTCGCACAATACTGATGGAATATTGCCACAAGTGACGCAAACCGAAATATGACTCTAAACCCTAAACAACCCTTATATTGGCCTTCCATAGTCTCTGCAACTGAAGATCTTCGACCCTTTCGGGAATTTCTTTTCAATGATTCTTTTCAGAACAATCTATTTTTTGTCCCAGTTGTATCCAGCAAAATATGTATTTACTGAGCACCATCAAACAATCTATTCATTTCACTTTTAACACAAATAGACAACCAAATGGATGCTGATTAAATTCAACATTTCATAGTTTCGTCCCACGTTCTGGTCCGTCAGTGTTCATCACAAGCGTTTATTCCGAGCCCCGAAGCCAAAGTCGACTGTCAAGCCTTGTATAAACCCATCCCTGACACCGCTAGGAACATCACTGCCCCAGTAAGCTGCCAAATCCTCAACCATGCACTAGGACCAAGTGTGTTCGATGTTCAAATTGCTGCGTTTATTCGTATCCTGGCCCTGAAGCTTGGGTAAAGATAGCCACTGTCCTTCTCGCCGGGATCCTATTGTCCTCACGACTGGACAAACTACAGCTCAGTTAGAGATGTTAGCACAGCAAAGGCTTTGCCACACCTTTGAAGCAGTTTTCACACAAACAGTATCAGCCCGTACGCTTGCCCCGCCATATCATAAACAATAGTGCATTGCCATATTCTGTTAACTAACTCACCCGATCCGCCCCCGGCCTATTCAGTGTTGTTGACTATACTTATATAAATATTGGAATAAACTGTTATAATCATCACCAGGGCTGATGGTGAGAAGGCATGAGACAGGATTTCTCAATTCGTTGTCCTTTTCCCTTTGGGATGCCTGAAAGGGGGGATGTCCCCTTGGGATGCTCTTTGGGAATCCAGGTTAGAATTAGTTCCCTGAAACCTATGCTTGTCGTCCGAGGCGACTTAATGGATCGGATGGTCAGGCTAGGTGAATTTTGGTTGATTGCGGGTCAGCGTTCCCCGACGGCATGGGACGTTACTCATTAATCACTGGTTCGTCTGGCCAGGCTGTATTATTGACATGCCAACATTTGGTGGAATATTTCTCAGCGTGGCTTCAAACAAACCACAAACACTCTTACATCCGTCGCCTGTCGCCATATACTTTCAATTTTCTTTACACGGGAGACCCGAAGCGTTCACTTTCATATCAATCATAAATAGAGAAATACAGACATATTCATTATAGGCTCCGTTTCAGCTTAAGATGTGACTGAGAGCAGGGTTTTCAGATTTTGGGAGGATCAAACGAGACCTGTATAGATGACACGGAGGTGGGCGTAGGGTTGGATTTGGGGCGGCGTGGTAGGACGCCATTACGTCAACTAGTTTCTGAAGTGTTTTCATGATAAGGGTCCTTTCATCAGAAGGACATACGTCGTCTCCTCCTTGTGGATCTAAGTCAATATATGAGCAGCCCGAGGAGAGGATAATTTGTATGTGTACCACAAGCATGGAATGGGGGCTACGTCACCGTCTCCACCGTCGTGAGGTTCATGGCGTTTTTGTGGTCCATGCGCCGCAGGGCGCTCATTCAGACGCTGTATGTTGATCCGCCGTGTTGAGACAGCGTGTTGGGAGGCTTCAACCAACGTCAACAGCTGCTCCACCGTCAACATGACACTGTGACGACTTGGTCTAACATCATGTCGACAATTGAAGGATTCAAACAAAGCCGATACTGTTACTAAATGAAAGTGTCCATCTTGTTTGTGTTCCCTCCCCTTTTTCTTTCTCTTCCTCCCTCTTCCTCTTCGTTTGACTTTATAATCACGGAAGTCAAACGTTCATGGTTCTGGTGTCACGCTGACGATGTTTGATTGGATACCGTAAACCCTATGACGTGACTCTGGTCAGTTTGGACACAAAGGCTTCTTAGAACCCTGCGATGACGTTACGTCAGAAAGGCGACCCCTCGATGACAGCACCAACAGGCACGTCCAACAGCATCAACAGCTTGGGCACAGCGTGTACAAATACTGATCCACGGCGGTCAGTGTGTCCAATATTTAATGTCCAGTATCAAAGACCACCCGCTCTTTTTCCAAATAACATCACATGTATCAAGCAGCCTTCCTAGAGAGTCAATACTGTTACGTCAAGTTCGTCAAATCTAGCCTTACGTCAGTTGCATTCCTATCATTCACAGCAACGTCGATGATAGGACAAATGTCTTAAAACTTAATCTACTACTCTGGCGTTTATGATACAAGCAGAACATAACATATCCAAAACAATGTCTCGTACAACAGTCAAAAGTACTTAACCTTCAAGCTTCCAAAATGGCGGCCGGCGTTACCCGGATTACGAAGTCTACGGTCACGTGATATCTATTGTCTGATATTGCTTGTAACATACATTGTCTACAAAAAGCTTCGGTGTGAGTCAATAATCATAGCTGTGTCACCTCAGCGCAACACTGTCGATATTTTTTCACCCTATCTCATACCCTTCATATTCTTCTCGTAATAATTTCATGAATCCACACGCGTCAAGAACAATCTGCAGCGTCAGCGTGAAACCCACACGTGGACCATACTCGTATGATACAGATATTCGGTTAATGGGGTTATATCAGATATATAATATAGATCACATGATGCAACAAACTCCCGCTTGTCGTGGACGTGTTTGACAACAGATGTTTAATTTGTTGCTATAGGTCGATAACAGGGATTGCTTGGACGGGCCGATGACTCACCATCCAGTCTATATCTAGGCGGAGTAGGCACACTAAAAATCATAAGGGGAGCTCATTACAACTGCACACTGCCGTGAACATACAACTCTGGAGCCATTGTGCACCTACATTGAACAGAGAGTGAAAGTGTGACGCCTCTAGCCTGAACCACAAATACACCTCTGTGTTAAACATATATTTAACCGTTTAGGACCAATAGGCGTGGTTATCAATAGATCACACTGAATGGGTGTGTGTATACGTGCTATTACACATCTCTTATCTATTATACAAATTCAATGGGCAGTTCTTTAAGTTGGTATTTATAATTTTTAGTGACGGTTGGCAGTGGGTGGGTGAGTGAGTGGGTGGGTGGGTGGGTGGGTGAGTGGATGGGTGGGTGGGTGGGTGGGTGGGTGGGTGGGTGAGTGAGTGAGTGAGTGATTGAGTAAGAAAGTGAGCGAGTGAGTGAGTGAGTGAGTGAGTTTACGCCGCTTTAGCAATATTCCAGCAATATCACGGCGGGGACACCAGAAATGGGCTTCACACATTGTACCGATATCCGAAATCGAACCCGGGTGTCACTTCGGCGTGACAAGCGAACGCTTTAACCACTAGGCTACCCGACCGCCCCGGCAATGAC